TTCCAAGGAGCCTCTTGCCTGGGAATGCAGTTTATTTAATGGTTGCGTCAGGTTTAGCCGAAACCCCTGTGCGAGCAGTTTGTGCCCACTAGCTGCCAGCCATAGGTTTTGCCCTAGTTAATAGGCCCGTGCTCATGTGGCTTCCTCCTCGCTCTGAGCTCCAGATCCATGTCTGTGTTCCACTGGGGCTCGCCATCTGCAGGGGCCAAAGCACAGCTGACTGGAGGTCTGAACCCTGTTTCAATCCAGCAGCTGGTCTGGATTGGGGGTAGGGAGGAGGGGGTTGCTGGGGTCCTGGGGGAGGACCTGCTGGGCCCCGCATGTTCCAACGGGTGGGCGAAGCCAAGCGCAAAGGCCACATTGTTGAGGATGGAGGCCTCTTGGCTATTTCTGGAATGACATTCTCTCCGAGAAGCTGTGGGCTGGGAGGTGTGAGAGTGGCGGCCAAGCTTGCGAGTCCCGAGCCTTTGAGATCAGCTGAGCAGCATGCTGCTGTGTGGTGCTGCTCTGGCAGTTGAGTTTGCCCCCTCCGATGGCCTCTTTCCTTGCAGCTGGTTTCTTCCGTGGCCTCTTCAATTTATGTTCCAACTGGTCTCCCAACTGGGTCAGAGAGCTTTTCAGAAGTGACAGGAAGGGGACTTGAGGGGAGTCGGGACAAGATGGGGTGGCTCCATGCTGGCAATGAGAGTGCAGAGGACCCAGGTGAATGCACATTTACTGGTGCTGCTTCATCCACCCTGGCTGGTGGCTCAGGTGGTTGGTGTGCCATCTCATGTACGAAAAGGCTGTGGGTTCCATTCCTGGTCAGAGCACATATCCAGGTTGTGAGTTCAATCCCGAGTCAGGGCACGTATGTGGAACAATCAATCTATGTTTCTGTCTCATATCAATGATTCATTCTCTCTCTCTCTCTCTCTCTCTCTCTCTCTCTCTCTCAAGTCAATAAACATATCTCGGGTAAGGATAAAAAAAAAATAAATAAAATGAAAGGGTTTCATCCTTTCTGGGCCCATGACTTTCTGGACTGCAGGGCCTGGGCTAAGAATACAGCTGAGGGGGCAGATGCACTTCCTTCATTGCTTAGCTGTCCACGCAGGAATCTGACCTTGAAGTGAGCTTTGATCATGGAGCCACTCAACCTTCCTCATGTCTCCTGGGGAGCTGGCTCTGCCTGCTGCTGCGGCCCATGTCCAGAGCCATAAGTACTCTTTCACCTGGTCCTCACATGAGAACAGCACCAAGGATGGAGAGAAAAGGCTGCCACTGGAATCTCACCATGTTTACGAGGCCCTGGAGGCCGGGGGGGTAGGGGTGGGAGGGGAGGTTGGCAGTGGGCACTGACTGTGAATCTGGTAGTGACTGTGAACTTGTCCTGGGCCTTAGGGAGGTGTCTGCCCTTTGGAATTGGCCTCACAGTAGGTTTGCCATTGCAATGTTCCATTGCATCCAACCAATAATTATCTTCTGTTCATCTAATCTGTTGGGCTATTGCAGAAGTTGGCACGTGGTAGCCTACAAATTAAAAATGTGGTCAGCAGAGCTAAATAATAGACCCATCCCTGTTTTAACCAGAGTGCGTGACGGCCCGGGAGAGTCGGGGCTCCCATATCCTCACCTAGGCCTAGGCACCTGTGTGCCTGAAGCATTTGGCTTCAGCTCTTCATCACTGTCGTGCTGGTCCGGGCCAGTTTCCCTGAGTGGTTCAGGCTGTGGAGTGAAGTCCTGTAGATCTCAGAATCACCTCGGGGCATCATGGGCTTCTCTTTGGGACAGTACCAACTGGGCTTTGGAATCTAGCCAGCCTCCTGGGCGGATTGGTCGCGCTTCCTCCTGGCACTCTGTTTACCCCTCTGCCCACCAGCAGCTTTGAATGGCCAACGGGCTAAGAAAGGAAAATCCCTTCACTCCTTGCAGGTGGACCCAGTCCTGCCCAGGGCTCCACTAGCACTTTGAGTTTTGGAATTCTAACTTCTTATTGACTGCCATGTCTTCTCTACTGTGTCATCTTTTAAATTAGTTTTAATTGTTTACATATTACATGAAAATAATCTCCTTATTAAAAATAAATCAAAAGATATAGGTCAAATGAAAGGCTTTCTAAACCAAATTGTCCTTTGTTCTAGCTCCAGTTCATGGGGGTAACCATTGATAGGAGTTTAGCACGTCATTCCTTCCTTTTCCAATGAACACACACATTTATGAATGTGTACCTATGTATACAAATGTAGTTATTTGATGTGTATTTACATAATGACATAATATTGGGTGTACACCTTATTCTTTTTTGTTAACATATTTTTATTGGTTTCGGAGAGGAAGGGAGAGGGAGAGAGATAGAAACATCAATGATGAGATGGGATCATTGATCAGCTGCCTCCTGCACACCCCGCACTGGGGATCAAACCCACAACCCAGGCATGTGCCGTTGGCTGGAATCAAACCGCAGACTCTTTAGCCTCAGATTGATGCTCTATCCACTGAGTCAAACCAGCTAGGGCTACCTAGGTTTTTTTTGTTAATATTTTCCTGGTGCTTTTGAAAATATTTGATTTTTGACTTATTTGATTTAGGGGTACCTCATAAGACTATACATAAGAATGGTGTAATTCAAAATGAAATTCTGCATCGTATAATGAATTATTTGAATCCGTTCACATATATTGTAATTGATGATGTAATCGGACATACTATCTTTAGGTGTTTTACTTATTATGATTCTGGTTTAAAATCTTCCTCTTAAAAACTTTAGTCCCACCGGGACCGGTTTGGCTCAATGGATAGAGCCTCGGCTTGGGGACTGAAGGGTCCCGGGTTCGATTCCTGTCAAGGGCATGTACCTTGGCTGCGGGCAGATCCCCAGTAGGGGGTGTGCAAGAGGCAGCTGATTGATGACTCTCTCTCATCGATGTTTCTAACTCTCTATCTCTCTCCCTTCCTCTCTGTACAAAATCAATAAAATATATTTTAAAAAAAATTCTTTAGTCCCCAGGGGGTTAACCAACCAAAGGGCCTGACTCAAAACAGTAAGGGTTCAACAAAAGCTTATTGAATAAAATCTTCCTGATCTACTCATTCTGATCTGATTTGAGAAACAACTGTTGACAAAATATCTCTGTTGTCATGGAGATGGGACTAAAGTTCAAATTATTGGTAAACGAAGTTTTAAAAAGGATTTAGTTACATTGTTTAGTCTAAGGGATCTTCCCTAATCATGTAGATTTAACAAAACCATATAGGAGATTTTGAGTTTTCTCTCAATATGAGGTCCGGTAGAAGTTCCCATTGTCCTGGCAGAGGAGGCAAAGACTAAGGTGAGATCTCAGAGCTGGAGAGGAAACCCAGGATGTGGTCTTCACCAGACACGCTCCTTCTGCAGGTGCCTGTGAGGAACCCCAGCAAAGCTGAGTCTCGGTCTGTTTTAGTTGTGAATCTTCATGTAGTCTTAGATTTCTTTAGGTTTCTAGCTTCACCTACTGGAGTGCTGGGTAATTAGTTTACTTAAAAATAATCATGTGAAGGCAACATTAGCTTTATTGCCAGCGGTTCGTCAGGAGAACCACTGTGCTGGATCCAGACAAGCATTTCGTTAGGGATATATAAAAATGAAGCCAGGATGGCTCAGAACCCATTCCACATCAGCTTCTTACCTTACTTGACAAAGAAATTGAAAAAATGAAAAAGCACATGTTCTGTCACAGTGAAAAGAACACCAAGCTGCAGTCAGGCCGTCAGGGTTTGGCTGTGCCGATGGGCTCATCCAGACGTCCCTGGACATCCCTGTCTTTCAGGACAAAGGAGCTGAAGGAGTCGACCTCTCCTGTTCCTTCCAATCTAAAGCTTCCCCTGTGTCTGGAAAATCTCCTGGGAAGCTGCAGTAACAATTAATCTATCCAGCACCTTTAAAATTCACCATGAGCTACGACTTGTAACCTAAACCGGGTTTATATCCAGTTAGGGTTCTAAACCCTCCACATCTCATAGCTGTATCATCTCATCAGTATTTTTTTTTCTGAGCCTCTGTATAGTAGCCAGTTATTGAGCAGGGAGGATAAACCCAAGCCTCCTCCAATTGCATTTGCTTGGTTAGAGCCGAGCTGCCCAGCGCGTCTTTGGCACTTGGAAGGAAGGACACAAGTGACAGGTGGGTGAGGCCCAGCGCAGCTCTGCTAGGTAGATGCCCTGGGCTTCCCTCTGGAGTGCAGATCCAGATGTGTCCACTCAGTTGCTGAGAGACATTATTTGCAGTCGAGGGTGAACTCCAGAACTCTTTCTTGCCTGAATTTCAGATAGAAGCTTGGAGATTTGATCTAAGGCGAGGGGGTTCCATAAAGATGCGGAAGTGTAATCCATGTCCCCTGTACATGTGATTTAAGCACAAGCAGCTCTGCGCTGAGTTTACTGATGAGGGTCAAGATTGGCCAAGAACAGATACAGCTTGGCTGAGCAAATGGATCTTCATAGCTATTCTCCATCAGCGTTTTCTTCCAATTTTCTACCATTTCCTTATTCCCTTCTATCCCCCAGATACCTATATTCTTTGGGGACTGCTAACATTTTGAACAGTGGTTTACTGTTCAAATAGAAAATATAGCTATTCTTATAATGTAGGGATTCCAGTAAGCCCTTCAAAAACCTCTGAAGTTGAGAAAAGGCAGTGGATGAGGCTCAGACCCTTTTCAAATCATACATACATACATACATATATGTAAGTAATACATTTGGCAGAAAGACTGGAAGGCAACTTAATACATTTTAATTTGAATTTAAACTGCTAATGGTAGGACTGTAGATATTGTCTTACAGCCCTTTCCTAAAATGTCCACAATTGACTTTTAAGAGGACAAAAGTGAATTGTCCAATTTTGCTCATAAAAGAGGGCTTGTGCAGCCTGGGAGGACTGTGCCTCTCAAGAGTCATGGTGCACCAGGCTCCATGCTCCTCATGACAAGGCCCTCCCTTGGCCATGCTGGTGGTGCTAACCTCGTGTCTCTTCCCTCCAGAATGGCTGCAGTCTGTCCAGGCCACCATGATCCTGTCCATCATCTTCAGTGTGCTGTCCCTCTTCCTGTTCTTCTACCAGCTCTTCACCATCACCAAAGGGGGCCGGTTTTACCTCACTGGGATCTTCCAGATTCTTGCTGGTAAGTGGTGACTGTGACGTGCATGCAGGAGCTGGGCCTGATCAGTTAGTAGGAAGGCGTGGCCCAGGAGTGATTGATGTTTTCTGAGTCTGCTCATGGAATGGTTTTCATAAGGTACAGATGTGTGTGCGTGTGTTTATGTGTGTGCATACCTGTGCATATACCTTAGAATAGGGAACTGCCCACTTTTTCATAGAATGGTGTCCATAGAAAATAGGAGTTAGGGTTCTGGAATGAAGTTTCTTGACCCAACCCTGTCACCAGGAAGAAAGCTGCGGTATGGACCCACGATCAGAGTTCCATGCTGAGGGGATCAGTACAGCAGAGGCCAGTCCTGAGGATGGGTTCCTAGAGATCAGCTTATACCCCAGGGAGCTATCCTGCCTCAGCCTAGAGAATGGCCCTGACATGCTGTTGAGAACAGCCAAGGCATTCTTGAGTGTATCTCTTACTCTGCGCAGCAATGAAGCCACGCTACCAAACTCCTGCTCTCCTGCACTCCAGCTTCTTGGTTCCCCTGGGCTTGATTTCCTGTTGTCATTTCAGGTGTCTTCATTTTGTCACCATTGTATAACCTGCCATCATTTCCCAAACAGGGGTCCCTGACAACACACAAGATCTTTATCTCCACCCTAAACTGCGTTCAGGTTCCCCCACTGGACAGCTTGTCCAATGCAAGAGTCCTGGAAGCCTCTAGTGTGGAGGGCGAATCCTCCGACTTTGTCTCTCTTTTCTGAACAGTGTCTTACTCTACCAGTTCATCCTTTTGTTCAGTGACTGCCAATGGAGTGAGTCAGTGGGACACGGAGAGGAAGAAGAGACAAATGCGGTGGGATCTGTAGCCTAAGTTAGTAAACCAGAGCATATCTGGCTGCTGTGAGATGTTCTAGATTCTAGCCATCCTAGTAGGCAAATGGCATCTTGTTCTGGTTGTTTGTGAGAATGTCCCCAGTGCTGAGTCACCAGCTTGTGCTCAGGAGCAGTCACATGGAGGGTTGAAAACAGCCCATGCATTCTGGGTGGATGAATGGATGGGTGGATATAACAGCTTGCATGAGGTTGAATGTTGATGACCTTTTCTAAAAGCCAGAGAGTTACTGGAAAAATCAAGTAACCTGGAGATCCACTTCCCATTAAATACTTAAATATAATGCTTCAATATGCACAATATTAGGGTTTCAAAACCAAATCGTGCTTTGCACTTGCACAGTTTTATTATACCAAACCAAGCTCCTGGATTGGCGCAGCTTGGTGAAATTACTAACTTGCAGTAAGATCGTCTGTAGGCATGCTAGCAGCAGAGTTGTTTCCAGAGGCGATTTGCAACTTCATGGTCTGGGATTCCTTTGATTCACCATTTAAGTTTGATGGGTATTCAAACGATGATTATACCCACTGTACCAACGGATGTGTCCTCAAGATAAAGTAATATAGACCTAGGAAGCAGAAGTTTCAAAAATATTTATATTTGATCTGTAAGCTTGAGCTCTGCTGATGAATAAGCTGGCCTTGGGGGAGAATCAGCTGAATGCTTCCACTCCTTCAGACCACAGGGACTGACTACAGGTAGGCGCCTCCTTACATTTAGAAACGCACAATACACCAACATTGCCAAGGAGCACAAAGTCCAAGCTAGAAACTCTGCTTTCTGCATTATTTTCTCCTGACTGATTTACAATGGAGAATCCATGCAAATTTGCATTATGTATTATTCTTAAGGCCCCAAGCATCTGTAATGAGTAAGAGCCTACACCTTCAGAACTGCCTAGACCGAAAGCACTGGCTGAGAAGGGCCCCACCACTGTGGCAGGGGCCCCTCTGAGCTGGCAGCCTGTCCTCTCCCGCTGAGCTGGCTCAGCTTTAAATCCTGTGACAATGCCTCTGCAGCCGGTCCTGATAAGGTCAGAGTTAATGACCATGAAGTCGCAAATGCTGGCCTTGCATTGTTTTAATGTATTTTGTTCCGCAAAAAAGCTCTTAAGAGTTGAGGTTTTCTCATTTTCCGAAGTGTATTTATTGTCCGTACTTGCTTCACTGCTTTGATTCACCTCTGAACCCAATGCAAGCCTTGTTGGAACTCTATAAAAACCCCTGAATTTAAAAGCACTAAGTTGTTCTTCCTTTTTCCCCTTCAAATCTGGCTGCTTATCTCTCACAAGACCAGGTTTTCAGTTATGAGTTTGTCAGTTTAGCTATCCATATCTTGAATTAGAAATGTTGAGCCAAAATAGCAGTTGTAAGTTGTAAGTTCTAACTCCAGCCAACAGGACCTGGAAGTTTGTCTTCTAGGAACCTCAGGTCTCTGAAATGTTGCACTTGAACCTGCTGTAGGGTCTTTTCATTAAAATTGAGAACTAAACTGGTTAGGGATTTGACTTCCTGACTCTTGATGCATGACAACTTTAAATCAATGTTGTCACATGCCTTTCCCAATTCACAGTTAAGAAACCAGCAATAGAGAAGAAAGTAGGGAAGGTTGTTGGAGTTGAGAACTGGGGACAGCCTGAGAAGTTACAGCTTGATGTCCAGGAACAGATCAGGAAAACTGAAACAGACAAAAAACAGAAAGGGGAAAGGAGAGTGGGAGGGGAAAGCAAGTAGCCCACAATCATGGAATGTGAATCGAAGTGTTCCTGCCACAGTAGGTGGGGTCCACACAGGGTAGAAGCATCCTCAAAGCTGAAAGCATTTTAAGCAGAAGCCAGCAGACTCCCAGGTGACAGGTGCAGGCTGGATTGTCTCTGCATAGTTTCTCTTGGGGGATGGGGGCAGGGTTAGCTAAGATCTTTATAGATCGGGCACCTGAGGGTGCGGGGAAGGTAGTGAAAGGTGTGAGGAGCTCTTGGGCTGATTTAAGATTTGGGAGCTGCGTCTGCCTTGCTCCAGATTACAGCTCCGAGGGTGGTTATAAGTCTACCTGCTTTGCTGCGTCATCCTTTCTCCATTCCATAATAAGCCACACGTCTCACATTTAAGAGCTGTCTTTCCTTGATTACATATTGCTTAGGTTGGCTGCTTCCTAAAGACACATCAAGAGGCATCTTTACCTAGTTAAGTGCTTTTTGAGCTTAGCTGCACAACAGATTTACCTTTTAAAAGAAGGGGGTGCTTTTTTAAAAAAGTTCCCGTGCTCAGATTTCATCCCTGGAGAGTCCTACTTAAGAGCTCTTGGGTGGGGCCATTCCCTGGGTGACTCTGAGGTTCCTCCAGGGTCGGAACCACAGGGTGTAGCCTTTCAACAGCCTCTAATCCCACTGCCAGTTCTTCAGGGACATTTCTTCACAGACAGCTCCTCCTGTTCACAAGCCACTGATTCTTCTCTCCCTCCTTCTTAGAGAAAAGCCGAGCTGATCCTGTGTCTGGGTTTTGGTGTCATTCTCATTTGCCAGAGCCTGTAGTCACCTGGTCCCAGATAGAAGTTACCCTTGCCCTAGCTGGGTTGCGTTGGATTGTGCTAGATGGGAAAACATCAAGAACATCCTGTAGATACAGACCTGTCAAGGAGCTATGCATGTTTTTATTGATTTCACTCCTTACACCAGCCATGGGCTCTGTGCACACCACATAAAGGAAGGCCCAGAATAACCTACTCGCTGGATGACTCATGACTATGTTCCGTAGGCAGAATCAAACTCAGGTCAAATGTGTAGTTACTGTTCATTGTCATTAAAGGGAACAGAAAACATGGGAGAAGGAGACTCCTGAGTGGGTTTTACTTGCTCCTTGTTTTGTTTCCTGTCAGGCTTATATAGGTACAGATATAGGGCTTTAGGATGAAATAATTTGAAAGATGAATAAGAGTATGGATCAAAGGCAGCTTCAGTTGGGTACCACATTCAGCACCCTCCTTATGAGAGAATCATTCCAGATGCTGCACTGGCTATGCCCCAAACCTAGGATGCGGGGGGCAACGTTCTAGGTTGCAGGGCTCAAGTGACTGCTGAAATGGCAACTGGGCCAGCTGCACAGAGAAGACTTGTGTAGATCAGGCATAGAGTCAAAGCTTTCAGCAGGACGGACCACCCAGCCTCTTCCTGCCCCACCTTATCACCCTGAGGATGGGGCTGGTGAGACAAAGGCCCTCACTCACTTATACCAACACCACGAGGCACCTTCCCCACTGGCTTCGGGTCTCACCTGGCGTTCACTCTCCAGCTGGTCCCACTCTGGCTTCTGCTGCAGGCTCTCAAACAAGCTGCTTTGCACAGGTTACCAAGGTCCACTTTTAAGTCATTGGCTGAATTCCTCCAATCCTTTCTGTGCTGTTTTCTATTTACTATTTGAAACTGTTTATCCCCTCTGCTTTCATGCCATTACTGTTTTCCTAGTTACTTAAGTTAATCCACCAGTCATGCCAGAGCCCCCTCTCCTTGCTCCATACCCAGTCCATCCTGTCAGCAGATAACATTCATAGATATTGTGTCCACTTCTTATCTTTTACTCACTAACAGCATTGCAGCTGTGCAAGAGCCAATTCATGCAACTTTCTGTCCCCAGCCTTACATCTACTTTCCACATGGCTGTTGGGATGATCTTTCTAAAACACACATCTGAGCATCCTTTCTCCTCTGCTGAAGAAGTACTTCCCTCCACAACTTCAACATGCCATTGAAGCCCCCTCTGTCCTGGCTTTATGAGCTCTCCGGCTTCATCTTGCATTGCTCCTCCTGTATCATGGGACACTCTTATCATCACCTGCTGGTGGTTTCCACCAAGCTCTCTGTTTTCCTTGTGTTGCTCATGATCTTCCTGAATTCCCTTCCACCTTTCTTCACCTGGCTAACTCTTACACATCCCATAGTCCCAGGTCAAGCACCGTCTCCCTGTCAGGCTTCTCCAGTCCCTATTTTGGGCTCAGCACCCACCATGCTCTCAGAGCCTCCGGTGCATTTCTCTCACCCTCCCTTGAAGTCACATCAGACAATATTGGAAGTTTCTACTGATAAGTCTGTTTTTGAAAGATGCTCACCCCATGAAGGTGGGGGCTGGGTCTCTTTATCTAGATGCTCTACAACAGTGCATGCACACAATAGGTACTCACAGTATGTTTCTTGAACCAATCAGAATAAAGATAAGGAAGTTTAGAGAATTCACACCATTTCTTTATCCCTTTGCATTTGGCCCCTTGGTTGCTCCCTCCCAAAGTTTTGGGCTCTAATTGCTGCAGCTACTCTCATCACTAAAGGAGGCTTGAGATCTCCTCTTCAGGGGGACTCTCAAGGAAGAAGTTTCTGGGAGTTGTTCAGAGCCAGCCATCCTGAGACAGGTAGAAACTCCTGTGAACTTGTGAATGGGCAGCATTTTTGTGTTGCTTGGACGGGTTCTGTGTCCTTCCACTTAAAAACGGCCTATGCCCTCAGATTCAGGACCCTTGCAGGGCATGTCACTGCCAAAGCACAGACTGTCACCTGTGGGGAAAGCAGAGCAGGAGCTTCACTGACCTTCCCCATGGGGATCTCACTGACCTTCCCCATGGGGGACTTTCACTGACCTTCACCTGGGGGACTTTCAGAAATTAATTTCCATGTACTGGCTACTGAGAAATTGAGTCATAGTCTGCTTATGGGGAGCAATGTGTGACTTTTAGGAACTATTTTATGGCATTAACTGCTCTCGATTCCAGGGCACAACTATTAGCTTTATGAACAGAAAGCCTTGTAATAATGTATTCCCTAAAATTCCAGTCTACTGATAACAATAATTATGAAGTGTGTATCCTCTCTTTGACTTTGTAAGTATCTAAGCTTGTTGCTTTTTAAAGCAAAACTTAAATTCATTTACTTCTGAGATTCCACTTGGGTAAATGTCATAAAGTAAACCATCTAGTTAGGCAACACACTTGTGAATCCTGCCTCTTTCTATCCCTCTTGGTCACTGATGGAATGTTTTCTCTTTGATGTTTTCTTTGCCAGTGAAGTCTATGCACAGCTGGTCCACATGGCTATGCTTGCATTTTCCACACCAGTGCTGGTTAGATACACCCCATTTGGAAGCTCTACCAACATAATATGCATTGTCGTGGCCTCTCAGCATTCTCTTTAACCTCCTTCTCTCCTTTGGCCATGCTTCTCTTTTTATAGCCCTGCTCTCATTGGGTAGCTAGGTTAGAGCTCAAGAGGAAACTTCAATATTTTTTAAAGATAAGAATTAGCACTTTAGAGAAGTGAGTCATGGAGCATGATGGGAGATCACTGAGGTTCATGGACCTCAAGGCTAATAGTGTGTCCCCAGCAGATCAAAACTGTATCTCTAACACAGACTTGCCAGCTTCAGCTCCCCCTCTGACACAGATGTCCTTGCTGCCTCTCAGACTTTCCGTAGGTAGTGGGATCCTGGATCTGATCCCTCTGTAGTTCTAAGACTATTGTTTGGCTTTCTCTACGGGGGCCAGTGGAGTAGGAGTGTTCTGCTCTGACTTACAGAAGGACAATATTATCAGGGTAGTGAATGTGACAAATTCCAATTTTGCACTGTGTTCAAACAAAGTTGCAGTGTCCCATCAAATAGCAGTGAGGTTAGATGTAGGTGGTCCAGACCATCGGGAGTTTTGGAACCGCAGGAATCCCACACGGCCTGCTGCATTCATAATAGAGTCACTCAGAGCCTTTCAAAGACCCTGCTTTCAGGAGCAAACAGAGCAGGCTTTGTGCAGCTCCAGGCTGGGGTGCTGATGTCACTGGATCCCTCCCCACAGGGGTTTCTGACTGCCCTGGTGGGCATGGACTATCGCATTTGAACTTACCTGCTTCACGAGAACCAAGGTGGACATTTTCTTCTCCTTCCCACACCCAAGGGCCTCAGTGGTGGCCAGAGAGGGTGGCCTGGCCTACCTGTGTATGTGACATCGTTGTACCCTCTTTTGGCTTCAGATCCACACTTGGAGGGATCCAAGAACTGTTGAAAGGGGCCTGGTGCAATGAGCTTGCCCTTGATAGTATCCTCCCCCTGTAGCTTGTATCCTCTTCATGTCATGTCCTTCCTCCTTGTCTCCTCACTTTTCATCTCTGTATGTTCTGTCTACTTAATGTCTTAATGACAGTCCTGCTGAGGGGATTAGCCTGGAGTCCTGCCCCTGTGCTCTGCCTGGAGCCCAACACTGTTGCCATGACACAGGTCTGATAACAATGAAGTGTCACTGCACTTTCATTGGCTCCAGGAAACGCCCCCTCATTTCCAGAGTGTCACAGGTTTCCAGGAGCTCCCCTGCCAAACCATCCTTGTAAGGGGATAGGCAGGTTTATCTGCAACTCGAATTCTCGCTGACCACTCTGTAGCAACTGGGAATTAGTTGACAGTTAAAGCAAGAGAAATGGGGCAAAAAAGATGGCAAAGATGATGGATGGCCTGGGTCACATAGCTTGGAAGTGGAGTGCTGACTGTTTCTCGTGTCCCTGTATCTTCAAGCCTCCTGCTGTCACTCCTGGACCCGGTAGCAGGTTCTTCCAGAGTCCTACATGCTCTCCGCATGTAGTGGTCTCTGCCTCCCTGCAGCCCACGTGGGGGCCTGGTGTGTGTGTGTGTGTGTGTGTGTGTGTGTGTGTGTGTGTGTGTGTGAGTGATCATGGCAGCGAGGAGTGTGGGCAAGGTGCCCAGGTTCTGTGGACCCTGTAGTCGGGAGTGGAGAGGGGTCCCCCTGTGATGTCTCCCTCACTTACTCAGATTGTCCCTTTCTTTCCTCAGGTCTGTGTGTGATGAGCGCAGCATCCATCTACACAGTGAAACACACAGAATGGCACACCAACTACACTGGTTACACCTACGGATTCACCTACATCCTGGCTTGGGTGGCTTTCCCCCTGGCTCTGCTCAGCGGGTTCATCTATGTGATCTTACGGAAACGCGACTGAGGTGCCCAGTTCATCAGGCTCTGGGCAGACACAGGGGAGGGAGGAAGGAAACCTAAAAAAAGAAAAGAAAAAAAAAAGAAAACGAACAGAAAAACCCAAAAAGCTAGCCAAAAACCCAAACTCAAACCAAACCAAACAGAGTGCAGTTGGGGGGTGGGGTTAGTGTTGATTGAAGATGTATATAATATCTACGGTTTATAAAACCTATTTATAACACTTTTTACATATATGTACATAGTATTGTTTGCTTTATATGTTGACCATCAGCCTTGTGTTGAAACCTTAAAGAAATAGCTAAGGGACTTTACATCCTAACCGTATAATCAAGCTCAGTATTATTGTTTTGTTTTGTTGTTTTGTTTTACCCAGAAATAAAATAACTCCATCTCGCCCCTTCCCTTTCATTTGAAAGACGATACCTCCCTCCCACTCCACCTCATTTAGAAAACCAAAGTGTGGGTAGAAAGCCCCAATGGCCAGAAGCCCTCTCACACTGGTGACCTGTGTTCTCACAGAGGCACCCACTGCCCACGCCCACACCCGGCCTAACGCATGTGGACGAAACCCTCAAACTGGAGCCCTTGGCAAAATCACGCTGTGGCTTTGGAATGCTTGCCCCTGAGGTGGGTGTCCTGGTCACACGTCTAGATGAGAAATCAGTGACAAAAAAAAAAACCTATGAAATGGTGCTATGTATTTACCATTCCTTATTATCACTAATCTTCTAAACTACTCACTGGAAATTCAATTAACAATTTTACACCATAAAGTAGAATGGAGACTGAATAATTCTGTGTAATATAAATGGTTTATAACTGCCTTTGTACCTGGCTGGGCTGCTATCATTACTCTGATAATAAGTCATAAACACAGCTTTATCACGCCCACATGTTCCTGCGGTCAGAGGGTCAGGACCAGTCTCTAGACACTTGCCTCCACTGGGTCTAGGCTGTTCTCTGTTTCCAAGGACTGTCTGGCAATGACTTGTATTGGCCACCAACTGTAGATGTATATATGGTGCCCTTCTGATGCTAAGACTCCAGACCACTTTGTTTTTGCTTCGCTTTTTCTGATTTTTATATCAATTGTGTGGACTAAGATGCATTAAAATAAACATCAGAGTAACTCACTGGTCTCTCTTGGGGTTTTGTGGGGACCTGGGTGTGAATGTGAGTGTGAGTGTGTGTCAGGGTGGAGGGGAGCACTGCAGTGGAACGGAAGTTGAACAGATGATCAACGCTGCAGTTTGGCCCCCAAAGCATAGCTTCCAGAGCCTGAGCAGTGTCTGCTGATTGCACAGGGCCCAGAACTTCAGCGGAAATGGTAACGGTGAATGTACTGGAGTACCTTAGTCAGCCCTTTCTCGTACTCTGCTCTCTGATGGCCGGCATGGGGACCACAGCGCTACTCATGCGCTCACCCAGTGAGGAATGTTAGCATGAGCAGCTCAGATCCCTACCCTTGAGAAAGAAGGGTGGTGTGATATGGAGGAAAGTCTGCATGATGGTGAGTTGAGGTCAGACTCAGATAAAACATTGGTTGGCATCAGCTGAGCTCCTAACACTGTCCTGAGGGAGAGAAAGGGTGACCATGTCATCCTCCAGGTTCTGGGCTGTGTCTCACTCCTACTTTTGCCCATTGACCTTTTATTGTGCATCTGCGATACACCAGGTTAATGATGCATTTGATTCTCTTCAATATTTATTGAGCATCTATGTTGAGCCAGAGGTCAAGAGAAAAATAATATAATTCTCAATCTCAAAAGGTCACATTTTAGTGAGAGGCACAAGCATTATAATGAAGAACATAGACATTAGGCAGCCTGGGTTTCAGTCTGCCCTTTGCCCCTTACCAGCTGTCTGAGGTTGGACATGTTTCTTAAATGCAGATGCCAAGTCATGTTGATGATATTGTAGAGGCTAAAAGGAGATAGTGAATGTGAGATACTTGGCATGATGGTGGATAGAAAGTACCCTATAAGTTAGTGTTTATTACAAATGTTACCATAGAGGCGTGGGCAAAGATGATTGTTCTGGGTAATCTCAGGATTGGGCAGCACATTAGAATCCCCATGCTGGGCCCACTCCAGATTCTGATCCCTGTGTCTGGGGGGCACCTCCCTGCTGAGGCAGGGTGACAGCCTCTAGGACTCCTACTGATTATGAGATTTTTATGAGCTAAGGTAGCACCTGTGAAGTACAGAGCCTGGCTCTGTAGGTCTGGGGTGGGGGTTGGGGTTCTGTGTTTCCAGGTAGAGCCTGTGGTGCTGCTGGTCACACCTGAGCAGCAAGGACCTAGAAGGAAGCCCGGCAGTCTCCTCACGTTCCCCTGCCCTTGGACTTGTATGATGTGGGGCTTCTTCCTTCTGAGGGTCTCCATGGTGACCGGCACACTCTACCTCTGACTCCGACTGATTGGGTCAGTGGCACAGACGGCCACTAAATGCATGTGAGACACAGGTGACTGAGAAGCTGGGAATCTTACTTCCAAGCTCATGCTTTGCAAATGTGTACAGGCATACCTCAGGGACTGTGGGTCAGTGCCGGACCACTGCAGTACATCAAGTCCACCACTCTGCTGGTGAAGCTTTTGCCTTTAATTTGTAAGCAAAGACAACATCTGCGAAGTGTAATAACATGAGGACTGCCTGAACTTGTACTTTATAGACTTTCTTTTATGGACCATAAAGAAGGATATTTTATAATGATAAAAAGCTCAATACACTAGGAAGGTGTAACAGTTGTCAACATATATGCACCTACTATTAATATACCAAAATATAGCCGAAACCGGTTTGGCTCAGTGGATAGAGCATCGGCCTGCAGACTGAAAGGTCCCAGGTTCGATTCCGGTCAAGGGCATGTACATTGGTTGCGGGCACATCCCCAGTAGGGGGTGTGCAAGAGGCAGCTGGTCGATGTTTCTCTCTCATCGACGTTTCTAACTCTCTATCCCTCTCAATTCCTCTCTGTGTAAAATCAATAAAAAATATATTTAAAAAAAAATATACCAAAATATATAAAGCAAAAACTGACAGAAATGAAGGGGAAATAGACAAATAAGGGTTGGAGACCTAAATACTCCATTCATGTGGTAAACAACTGAACAGAAAATCAACAAAGAAATAAAATACTTGAAAAGCCCTCTGAAACAATTGGATTTAACAGAAATCCGTAGAACATTCTACCTAACAACCACAGAAGATATATTCTGCTCACATGTACACAGATTCGTCCTCCAAGATATGTTACCTGCAAGGCCATAGAACAAATCTCTGCTAACGGAAAGTGGAGACCCTATAGAGATTGGTAGAAAGTGCAGAGGCTTGAGAGGGCTGGCGGGACTCCCACAAGCATCAGCTGAAGTTCCAGAGAGAGATCAGCTGTGGGAGGTTGCCACTGAGAACTCTGGGGTCTCATCTTAAAGCTGGGCTTTCCAGCTCAGAGCACCAGAACTGAGAAAGGTATCCACATAACATCTGGCTGTGAAAAGCAGTGGGGTTGCTGTCTGCCAGGGAGAGAAGACTGGAAATGCAGGCATCCTCTTAAAGGGCCAATGCACAAAATTTCATGTGCAGTCATTCACCTTGGGCTTCCACAGAGGGGGGGCAGGGTTGACTAGAGCTATGTGAAGAGAATCTAAAGTGGCTGGATGGGAGATGATCAACCAAAGAAGTTGAGTGCATATATGCATAATCCATGGACATAGGCAATAGAATGGTAAAGGCAGGGGATGGGAGTAAATGGGAGTGGGCTAGAAGGGGCCAATGGGAGGGGGAAAGAGGGACATATGCAATACTTTCAAAAATAAAGATTTTTTATGAAGAGAAAACAGTTCTTGCCGAAACCGGTTTGGCTCAGTGGATAGAGCATCGGCTTGTGAACTAAAAGGTCCCAGGTTTGATTCCAGTCAAGGGCATGTACATTGGTTGTGGGCACGTCCTCAGTAGGGGGTGTGCAAGAGGCAGCTGATCAATGTTTCTCTCTCATCAATGTTTCTAACTCTCTATCCCTCTCTCTTCTTCTCTGTAAAAAAGTCAATGAAGTATATTAAAAAGAGAGAGGAAACAGTTCTAGACTCAATTGCTGTTTGAAGTCTGGCTCGGGGACTGCCTAAGGGCATTCACTGATTGAATCAGGATCGCTGCAGTAATCTTTCTTGAGCCACCTGATTAAGAACATTCATCACATCTGCAAAATCTTTTTACTGTAGCACCTTATTAGTGTTTGATTGAATAACTGGGAGAAGGTATATATATGTTACAAAAAGACTACTGTTCTTCCTTCTGTCCTTGTAGTTTATTGTAGCCAAGTTGACACATCAAACACCATCACAGTGAGTGGGTAAAAAGCTGTGGTACATTTGCACCAGGAAATTCTAAGCAGCAGTAAAAGAGGAGGATCTCTTACCCTGTAAGACAGGATGGAGTGATCTGGAGAGCATCATGCTAAGTGAAATAAGCTGGTCAGGAAAAGACAACTATCACATGATCACTCTCATATGTGGCATCTAATGGACAAAATAAATTGATGAACAAAACAGATCCAGAGACATAGAAGCATAGAACAGACTGCGAAATCTCAGAGGAAGAGTGGGGCTGGGTGGATGGGATGGAAAAGATCAACCAAAGGACTTGTATGCATATATGCATAACCCATGGACACAGACAATAGAACAATGTCCAATAAATTGAGCCACACTGGCCAGGGTTTTTTGAATAACTTTATATACTGTTGGTTGGTAGATACTTTCTTGAACCTGGATCATAGAGAATACCAGAATTTATTCAGGTTACAACTCTCAAATAAAGAACCTTGGGCCTTAGGGTTCTCACTGACACATTTGTGGCTTTAGGAACTTAGTGAATGTTTGAAGGCTTGTGAGGCTGTGATGCTTTTCAGAATCTCTGCTTCATCCTTTCCCTCCAGAAAATAAAGGGCTGAACAAAATATGACAAGTCCTGCCTTTTATAGTCAGTGGAGCTTGGCATCATCCTTTTA